TAACTGCACCATTTTGTTGAGGTCTTCTAGGTGTAAAGAAATTATATGCAAGTCCTAGCTCGTTATAAAAATTATCACAGTTTTCATTTTAAAATGTTCCTCCATGATCATTTTGAATGATAAAAATCACGCATCATGTCTTTCTTTGAATCAAAATTACAAATGTCTTAAACTAGCCAATAGAATTACACTTGTGTGCTAGATGATGATAGTTTTAAAGGTGTTAAATTATGCTTTATCTTATTTTTTTTAACTGACATGCGTCAAATTTGTTATCATTTGTATAATCCATTTTGGCACTCTTCTAAGTACCGAGTAATTTTCTGAAGGGTGAACATACTTGCATGTCATAGTATTTTTACTATTTTATGCTATAGAGAAGAATCATCTAGTGCAGTTTTAAACACGACATTAAATAGATTTGCTGATAGTATTAATATTAAGCATTTAGATATTGTTTATACTATCATTCTACAATAGGGGTGTCAAGTTTCGACCCGACCTGAAACCCGACCCGGACCTGACCCGGAAAAATTTGGGTTTGGGTCAACCCGTTTACTAAACGGGTCGGGTCTGGGTTCAGATTTTTGACCCGTTTGAAAAAACGGGTCGGGTTCGGGTTGACCTGACAACCCGCGGGTCAACCCAAATTGACCCGTTTCGCGTCTGCGTCAGGTCTCGCGAACTCGCGCGCGTCCACTGTCCAGTGGTCCAGCGGGTCGGGTCGGGTTCGACCCGAACCCGATGGGTTGACCCGAATTGACAACCCTATTCTACAATGACTTTGCTATTTAATTTGAATATACATGTAGTAGATAGAAATTCAATATAAAAAATTATATGACACAATTGGCTAATGCTAAATAAGTTATATTACAAGTCATTAGTAATAGAACATTTTCAATAATATAATGTTTTCTCTTATCAATATTACTAATGTCTATCACTTTTCGACCTATCCTATTGCGAAGCCATAGCTACACAAATGCACTATATTTTGATTTTTGGAAGCTAAATCATTTTTGGTTCGCTATGAGATGCATGTGTGATAATGTTGTAAAATGTAGATCTAACTATAGGATTCCTTTATTTTTTGTGCATGTAAGATAAATGTTTAGATAACCCATAGTAATGACAAGCAATGCTAGGTATTAAAAAAAAAAAAAAAAGCAATGCTAGGTATGATGTCAAACCCTATGATGGTCTCCTCTCAGTCTAAAGCATAATAAAGGTGGGTACAACTCAGTTGATTGAATCTACCATGACTCGCTTTTTGAGATCTACCATTTAGAATAGAGTGAGTGATCAATTCAATCACATGAATGGCTCATTCATATCATGAAGCAATTCCTAACTCAGAGATTTAATGTTTAATATGTCAATTGAATGGAAGCATTCTAAAATATTCTGTCCATTCAATTACAATGCTTCTAATAAACATCATTGTTTGCTTGCATAACATGAAAATTTTATCATATATATATATATACCTTAATGTGTTGTATCTTACATTAAAATATAGAAAAGATGCTTTAAAACGTGATCCTTATTCATGACCAACCTTATCTTTACCTTACCTGAAATATCCTTTTGAGTAATATCTGATGAGATTAAAAGCTCAGTAATATAAGAATTTTAAATCAAAATTCAATATTGAAAAAAAAGAAATAGCATGGTATGCTAATCATGACATTAAATCTTTAAAATAAAACATAAACTTGTCTAGTTTATTACTTTTAATCATTAGAAATTGGGTTTTTATGAATAATAACTAGCATAATAAAACTTGAGGTAAGATTATTGTTGAATGTCTTAAAAGATGTTTAACGTCTATCATAATATACACTATGCCAGTGATGTGATACAATGAAGATGACACAAAAATTGCTTTTATGAAAATTAATAAATTGTGAACTTGGCATAGTTAAACATAAACGAATGTGTTGTCAAGATAGATCTTTAGAAAATTCCACGGAAGAACTAAGTAATGACAATTGATTACAATTAAGAGCAATAGGACACTTGCAAAATTACATCAACAAAATAAGTAAGTAGAGCAAATGGCCGATAACACAATCCTCAGTTTAAGATCTAGATTATTCACCTCGAGGTCCCTCACTTACACTCTTGATATCGCTCGGCTTAGCGGAGGAGAATTGCAAACAAGCTTAGGGATGCCACTAATAGACACGTGATGCCAAGGGGGCTAGTCGCCGAGGAAGGAGCCGGGGTTGGAGAAACGGGTAGTCGTCCAATGATCTTCCACTCTTCACTAAGTCGTTGCTCGTTGAAGACTTCCGCCAAGTGAGGAACGATACGGTCAACGTATTCCTTGACAATGTTCTCGGCTCCGAATTCGGGGTCAAAGAAGGGTGACCGGATGACGTCGATCTCCCCGCAATAATTGATTAATAGGCCGTGATCAACTTCCGGATCTGCTATTCATGATCAAGACGGAAGTGATATGTAGCGGTGGAGTAAACGTGGAGGAGCCGTCACTTAGGAAAATCGGCCAAGAGGAGGGGGGGGGATTGAGAGATCTCTGATGGGAGGAGGTGGAGAGAGTTGGGGGGGGGGGAAGAGAGCTCGGGTTGGAGGTGGTGGGGAGAGGGGAAAGAAGGGGCGGCTTGGTTGTGGTGGGCTTAGGGAGGAGTAGTAGAAAATCTGAAATTAATTCTCAGATTTAGTGAAATTGGAGGGAAGGGTTTTAATTGAATTCAAATTCAAATAAAAGGATTAATGGGAGGTAATTAGAGGTCTTGATTGAGAAAAATTAATGAAATTTGGAGAGAGAAATTATGAGGGAGAGGGGGGGCCGGCCATGTAGAGAGGGGAGAGAGGGGTTTTGTGTTTAATATGTGGGCCCCCAGGGAAGTTAATGTTTTAATCAAATCTGAATTTAATTTCAGATTTGATTTAAATAATAAGAAACTTCCAAATGGGACTTAACTCTCATAGGAAGGGATTTGAAATTCAAAATAGATTGATTGCCAACAAGGATTCTTTCCTAAATCGCATAGAGGAAATTTAGGAAAGTAATTATGACAAAATTTGAATTTCAAAATTCAAATTTGGGAGACTATGGATGATGGGCCGGCGGGTTGAACAAGCAGGGGGGAGATGGGAGGGCAGGCCGGCGGCTGGACGGCGGTTTGCCCGGCCAAGGAGGCCGGCGAACAAGTGATGGGGGCTCGGTTTTGTGAGGAGGTGAAGGGGAAGGGGTGTAGGAGACCGGCGGGTAGGTGGCTATGAGATGTGGTGGGAAGAGAGGGGAAAGAAGAAAAAGAAAAGAAGATCGGAGCTGCGAACCTTGGAATCCTCCGAAGTTTAGCGGGTACTGCTTTCACAGTTTCAACCACTAAGGGTTCTCCTCTCATGAACTCACTTTGAGATCAACAATGGAAAATAAAATTTTATTCACTAATCATCCTCCCTTACAATGCAAGAGGCCTCCTATAAATAGACCAAAATGAAAGAAAACCAGAAAGACACAAATGCCCTCGGGGCTACAATAATGACTCAATACCCGCAGGGGTAAACTAGGAAAATTGAAAATGCAAGAACAAAATAAAATACAATATATATAAAAAATAAAGACTCTGGAACGTAGCCGTCGATCTACGACTCCGACGATGGTACACATGTCGAAATCTTGGACTGATGTCCTCATCAGCCAGTTAGGCTTACATGTGACAACTTTAGAGACAAATATGCTCGTTAGAGAAATGTTTTTTTTTTTTTTTTTTTCATTTGTTCTTAATATGAAACCTATTAACTTTGTTTTAGAATATGCCATATATTTGGATCCATGTTCAATGACCATCATAAGACACTGAATTACATCAAAGCCACGCGACATATGATATGGTTGGAAATCTTGCTCGAAGGCTGCATATTGAGGACTCTTTTGCCTTCATAAGGGATAGCCATTCGCCCTACATGTATAGGTTATTATAAATATATCAATTTGTGGGCTCTTTTATCTCAATATGAGCTGACATTTGTAGTCCTACCTATACAAGTATCATAAATATATCAACTTGAGGATTCTTTTGCCTACATATGGGCTCATCTTTATGGCCCTACTTATATGTGTATCATAAATCTATCAACTTAAAGACCCATTTGCCTCATATGGGCTCACCATTTTTTCCCTACTTACATATTTATAATAAACATATCATTGTTAACCTATCCACATTTTTATCGTTTTTTAATGTCATTGCATTTTTATTGCTGAATATTTGAGATACATATCTTTCATCATTAAAATTTAATTCAATTATGAGCAATTTGTAATTTACAAGTGCACATTTCCCTACTTTGAAATACATCATTTTTATAAAATGGCTTCTAATACTTTATATATATGATTATTTTTCTTTAAAAATGTGTAATCATTTTATCATATCTAATAGGACGACATTGTGTGCTTGGCAATATGAATAAATGCTAACATCTTACCTACACGGTTAAATGCCTATGAATTTATGTGTAAAGGATTAACATAAAATTATCTTCTTGAATTAAAAATTGAGTATTTTATGCAATTATAGAATTATTTTTTGGTGAATTTCTTTATTTCAATCTACCCAAGTCTTGTTCTTTTGTAAATCACCTAAAAATAACAATTTAATAATTTATAATAATTGCCTATTTAGCAACACAATTCTTACTCCAAATGACCTCCAAGTTACATTTTATTCCTTAAAAATATTTCTCTTCAAGACTTGAAGCCTACCAACTCAACTTAAAACTCAATTTGCAGAAGAATACACGAAAAATAATATTTTTTAACCTATCCTTCCTCTCCTTAATACAAATTCATACCTTTGTAGTTTGTACTCATTTGGGTCATTGAATTTTAGCACCATAAGATGTGTATCAATAAAAGCTCTGATCAAATTTGGACAAATTTTTCTTACATGTATATTTTTAATACTCGTTGTAAATGTCGGATTTCAGAATGAAACTAAGGTCACTTCAATTTTGATTCACAGCAAGTGTTGAGCCATCTGTTGGAAGAATCAGGTTATACAAGAGATGCTTCACTTGTGTTGGATGATTTCATCAAGGTACTAAGTTTGGCTTACTCAGCTAATCAGGTGGATGTATATAATGCCAAAAAAATATCTTAATTAATGTAAATTAGTTGTGTTTAATACGACTATAAGCTAGTATAGTTTATGATAAAGAAACTTTTTGATGATAATTCTTTTACAATGAGCGTAAATGAAATAAAAATCTTGTAAGAAAGTTAAGTCTCAGTATAGATTATGGCTATACATTATTTTCCTTGCAATTAGTTAATTGGCTTTGAACACATCTGTCTTTACCCCATACTTTCATTAGTATTTTTGATGTGTATCAAGACGTGAACGTGGTCTACAAAACTTAGGAACATACATTTTGAGCCAATGTAATATCGAACGAATTACCTTTTTTTTTGCTTTGTAATTTTTGTAAAAGTTATATTTTCATTTGCCCAAAGCATGCTCTTTATTTGTTCTTTCTTCTTCAAATTGAATACAACAAAGAGATCAGCTAGAAGGGTAAACTAGGCATAGAATATAGAGTAGTAGAGAATTTAAGTGAGCTAGGAATAGAATCTACAAGGGGTGATTTTGGGTTGGTGATTACGTGATAAGAAGTTCTACAATGGAGTTCGTGTGGTAGAGGCTATAATGAATCTCACTAAACTCGAGAATATGTTTAGGCTTATACTATATTAGAAAGGAGAGAGAATTGCAAAAGACTATGCCTTTAATCAATTATAATTATGGCACAAATAAATATGTTCTTTTATATATATAACCAGAGAAGAGAATAATAAAAGAAAACATAATAATGGAGATTATCATTAATAATGTGGAAATTTTATAATAATAAGTATTAAATATTTATTCTATAAATGAGTAGGCGCATGACAATTCAGATATGATAACAACCTATTCTTTGAATGATAATTCTTCTGAAGTTCTACAACCAAATGTTAGTGATGTAGAACGAGAATGATGGCTTTGCTAGGGAGAGCTTGAAAGCAATAATCTGTTACGATTCCTATCAGGAAATCTGAAACATTTCAGATTTTTCTCACAAAATCTGAGAGAATTGGAGGTGGAGAATAGCTTCACGCCTTTTCCCAATATTCTGAGAATTACTTCAGGTTTCCTTTCTAAAACCTGAGAAGGAAATCTCAAGTTCAAGTAGTACGGGTTGAAAAACAACCTCAGATTTCCTCTCCGAAATCTGAGAAAAAGTTCTTAGATTTTGTGCTTAGGAAGTAGAGGAAACAGATGAGGAAAAGGCTTTAGAAATTAGGTGGGGAATAAAGGAGGAAGAGGGGATCACGGGATTGAGAGGGAGTGGAGAAATTCAGTGAAGAGGAGTGGCGGGCTGTAGAGAAGAATTGAGAATTATTTCCTTATTCCACTTCTCAGTTTTGGGAAGGAAATAAATGGCTAGAACTAATGGTGAGGGAGAAAAGCTGAGAGGAAAGATTCCAATCCACCGGTTCTTGATTAGGGAAGAAATCTGGATCAATTAGAGGAGGGGGACGGTAAAAAAGAATAGAAAAATCTGATGAATTTCTATTTCCAAAACCAGTGAATTGATTTGGGAAATAGAGCTTAGGAAAAAAAATCTGATGGAAGCAATGTAAAGGGATTTGAAATTAGTTTCCAAAAGCAATATTGGGAGAATAGGAAATAATGATTAATTAAAGCCAAGGTGGAAGTGAGGTGGGCCGGTGGCATCCAAAGGGGAATATGGGTTTAATGCACTCAATTGTGGTTACTTAATTTGGGATTAGGATTTAGGAAATAAACAAATAAATTCTATTTGAATTTGAAATTCAAATAAAATGGATTTCGTAACTTTCCAAAAATAGAATGATAAATTAGGAAAGAATTCAAATTTCAAATTAGTTGATTGAATTTTGAAACTGCCCAAAATTTAATCGCCCAAATTAAAAATATGAGTATATATATATATATATATATATATATATTAAATTTAATTCATTTAGGTTTCCTACCTATTATCCTCTATTTACGTCCTATAAATTTATTATCCTCTATTTCATTTAGGTAGACCTAAAAAGACTTAGAAAAATATTAGAAATGATCTTTCTTTATTAGATTTAAATGAGAATTTGACTTTCACATGGCACAATGGCGAAAAAGGATTCATGTAGCTGACCCCACGTAGTGGGACAAAGGCTTGATGTTGCTGTATTTATAAAAAAAAAAATTCATTATGATACCTACCACCATCATCTTATAAATTCAAATTGCTACGAACTACCTTTGAGGATTGTATAAGAAGATTGCTCCATTTTGTTGAAGCATCTCGCAACCACTTACAAAATAGAAAGAGGGAAAGAGAAGGGAGAGGGGCTTAAGTTTTCAATCATAGTTGGACATAAGAGAGGAAGCTCTCAAAGCCGAGAATGGAATATAATAATAGCAGCAACAACATCATCTTGGCCATGTTTAGCCATTGTCTCCTTGGAGGTGGCTGCATGCCCTCCTAATCACTGATATAGAGATAGTGATATATCTGTTATTATGTTCAATATATTAAAATAAATCTTTGATATACTCTATTAAAATTTAGTGCAATATTTGATCTATCTTCGACTGTGGATGTAGGTGAATATCACCGGCATAAACTTGTGTGTTTCGTGATTGTAATCTTTGATGTATTTATTCTTGGTCTTCATTTGATTTTGATCAAAATTTTGTCACAATGTCAACCTAAGGAACTTGTTAGACATATACATTTAATGAAGTAGGAATTGGCGTTGCATCATGGAAGAGAAATTTGTGGTTTTGTCATTGTCATCTGAGTCAATGCGAGGTTACATTTTGAAAATGTTAAAAGCCTGTGTATCAGTGATGGATGAAAAAGTTTGTAAAATCTTAACTATCAGGAAATGCATCTATTGATGAAAAAATTTTGATGTTCTTTGTACATGAACCATCCTGCTTGTTTTTTATGCTTTTTCTTTATTGTATGCATGTTGTATGAATGGATTGGGGGAGATTCGTTTGGGACGGCTTTCTTATTGCTTTTTAAAACAACTTTTTAATACAAAATTTATACTAAAAAATTATTTTAAGAAGCAGTAAGAAAGGCATCCCAAACGAAGCCTTTGTTTGCTTCATTTGGTTCTATTTTCTGCATTTGGTTTTTATGCTAAAGCAGTATTTCATGGATAAAAACTTTTCAGATACTCGGCAAATCTGACATGAAAATGGAGGTCGAAGTTCCTGTGGACTAGATGCTGACAATATTTCTGTACATACAAGACCTTGGACCAAGCTCATGGGCACATTTAGCTTCGCTGCTATAAGAAAGCAAGTTTCTGTATGATTTTGATTCTCGAGCATAGAATGGATACTTCTCTTGCTTTTTTTGATAACTTGTTTTCATTATTCATGCATTGTGTTATACTTGATTATCAGATCAGTGTCACATTGCTAATAATGTGATAAAGGACAAGCCATTGATAAGTTTCATAATATATCTGCATTGATTTTTGTTCTTAGCTCTGTCAATGTGAAGTCATGGAAATGACATCCATATATTTCTTAGAGTTTTTCAGAAGATCTGTTATATGTTGTGTGCTGCTCTGCTGTGGCTCTGATTATCTTACTCATTTTTCTAGTAGCAATAATTAGAGATGAAAAATTTAAGTTCCGTTCGGGACAATAGCTTTCTTAATGCTTTCTAAAATAGTTTTTTTAAGTTCAAAAAATTTTTGAGCTAGAAATTTTTTAACTAAAAAACTGTTTTAAAAAACAGAGCGAGAGAGGAGTTTATTCTTTGTTTTGAACATTGAGGTTTTGTTTGAGACGGCTTTTTTACTGTTTCTTAAAGCAATTTTTTAGTATAAAAGTTTAATTTTTATTTTAGAAAGTTATTTTAAGAAGCAATAAAAAAGCAGTCCGAAATGAAGCCCGAGTGAATTTGATTGCAATCCTAAGAAATAAACATTACTCATTGTGTGTTGGAATGTTCACAGCATTAAGATTTCTTCTATTTTTTTTTTATAAATATTAGCATTATTATTGTGCATTCAAATCTGCATAAAATAGCTCATATCTATATTTTACTTTAACATTTAGCAGTAAGGAAATGGATTTAGATTTCTTCTGCATTTGTTTTAATATCTAATTCATTTTTCTATCTTGTTCATATCATTAGGATTTTAAATAAAGGCCTAAATCCACAAATTACTGATGAGTTAATAGCAAGAATAATGAGTTACCACATTGTTTGATCCAATGAAATAAATTAATTACAAAATAATCTTGTTTTTAAACAGAATTGATCTTTATTATTATGATAATTTTCTGCCCTTTGAAGAAAGATGAAATTTGCTAAAATTCAGAGAAAAAGTCCATACAAATAATTAAAATTCACAATTCAAAAAAGAAAAAAAAAATTAATGGATTCCATAAATTAGATATGATGTTTATTATGAGCTTCACAAAACTCTTCTTAGAAGCCCTAAAATATAATAATGCTAATTGCTTATATAAAGTAAAGATAAACTTTTGTGTGAGCATTGGTTCCTTCTTGTTTTTGGGTGGGGATGAAGGATTGCCTAACAAATTGAGGACTTGATTGGTGATTATGCTAAAAAAACACAAATGGATTAGTCAAATGCTCAAATCCCATTTTTTTTTTAAAACTAGAACAAGTTAATCACATAGAACAAAATACACTAAGAACTTTGTTATGTCTTGAAACATTTATGATGATATATAAAATTTAGCATCCAAAATTAGAACGAAGATACAACACAGATATATAAGAAAGAGGGATGCAAGAGTCATAAGAGGCATCAAGATTTTTGCATTAAATTTCAGGGAAAAATTATGGGGTATGACACAATTAAAATAATTATACTAGTATTTATTGTTGATTACAAATGAATCTCTTCCTTAGAAGGAAGGCCTTGACTCGATGTAACAAATATACATCATATAGAGCATATAACATTGTGAGAGTTAGAAAAATCTAATGATATGAGAGTTGTTCTCAAGAGAGTGTTGACCTGTCTGTTTGGTCGATATGATCATATTTGGATGACGGTAGGATCGTATTCAGACAACAGTAGTTGGAGAGACGATAATTGGTGAGTGACGAAGGACGAAGAGACTGTAGTCGGTGGCGCGATAGTGGTTGGAGTGACTGTAGTCGGTAGGCGACAATGGTTGGAGGGATCGTAATCGATGGACGACAGAGGTCGGAGGGACCATAGTTGGCGGGCGACGGAAATCAGAGGGATCATAGTTGGTGTGAGACAGTGATCGGTGGGGCTATAGTCGGCAAGTGATGTTGGCCCGAGGGATCGTAGTTGGCTAGCGATAGAGGTCATAAGGACTATAGTTGAGCGGCCAAACGATGCTGGAGGGACTGTAGTTGGTGGGAGACGATTGTTGGTAAACAAAAATAAAAGAAGAAGAAAATATACTATAAGGCATCAAAGTTTGGTTTTGAAGTGATTGAATAGCCGAAACTTTCATCAAATCATAACCAACTAAAGAAAAATTTTATTTAGACTCTCGTTACAATAAAGTGTATGGAGCATCTAAAAAAAAAAAAGTGTATGGAGCATCTAATAAAGATTTAACAAGAACAGTAGAAAAACATGCAAGATGCATGCAAAACTAGCAGGACTTTTGTTATAAATCCAAAACAATTATGTACTACCTTCGATCAAAACTGAACACGATACAATCTAATTCAGAAGAAAGAAATAAGGTCTTCCACTAACAACTATAAGAAGCAAAATCAAGAAAATCTCACACAAAAATTTGACTAAACACACTGTATAATCAATAACAAAAATGATTAGGGGAAGAAGAGAAAGAAAAAGGAGAACAAGTCCAAAGCATATCTCAAGCTTGTATTGGGAGTAGGCTCTTGTTGTCTTCACTGTAGATCTCATTTTAGTTGATTATAGAAAATTGCATACTTAATTTCTCAAAGATACTTAAGACAGCACCTGCAACACGTGTATAAATAAAAGCTAGATAACTTTATTGATAAAGACACTAAAAAGGAACTATTTTTGGAAACCTTGGAATATAAATAACGCATCGGTAATCTGCACGGGTCGGGTCTGAGTTGACAATCTTAACCCGTTTGTAAAATTGGGTCGGGTTAGTGTCTACCCGTTTAAGGCCGGGTCAAGTCGGATTCTACCCGAACCCGATCCGTTGACCTGAATTGACTCCCTAATTGATGGGAGGAAATTGAATCCACTAGTTCACCAATAATTCTTTATACTTCTCCTGCAAACAAAAAGGGTAAAAAGAACAAAAAGCATTTGATGAACAGACCCATAACAATGAAAAACAAAGTTTTAAATGTTTAAGAGGGTGACCATCAACCACAAAATAAAATCTTTATTTTCATTAGTAAATAAAACTTTCTACTTTGTGTTAAATACAAAGAATTGTTGTTCAACTTCGGTAGGAGATTCTTATCAGAGTCTCTTCAGCGTTTCAGAAGTAATGCAAAAGAAATTCAAAGAAAATTTCATTAGAAAGATGAATAATACGGTAGTCATAGTGTAGTTCATATGCTGCTGTAGTGAGAGATTCTGAGATTGAATTGTTCTCATTGAATAGCAGAGTTGTTTTTCAAGGACTATCAAGTTACCATTGTGCATAATTAATTTGAAAACAATACACAAAATTGACGCATTTGGTCCATTAATTCCAGAATAACTTATAAATTACGCTGGGCTTAGCATAGTTCCATTTGCACTTTAACAGTTTACAAAAACAACTCATATTAAAGAAAATTTAAAATTTTAGCAATTCCACAGTTTACTAATGAATGATTAACAAATTCAGCTGATTGTAAAATGATTAAGGCATCGATTGAGACAACTTTTTTGATGCTTCTTAAAGCATCTTTCTAATAAAAAAAGAAAACTTTTGTATTAAAAAGCTGCTTTGATAAGCAATAAGAAAGCCGTCCCAAATGAAGCCTAAATCAATCATGACATCACTAAATTCTATTTCCAAGCAAATAAGTCATGACATTGATAATTTCAATTTTCTAGGTATCCAAAGACCAAAATAATAAAGACAAATAGCTGAAATCTTCAACTAACAACCATCATGGTTAAGATTGAGAAGGGTTATTAAAAACAAACTTCAAAATTCAAGCAAGACAATGTGATCGGGTGGCACTTCATAGTTGTTTCATACCCGGAGAGTAGGCAGAGAGGGAGAAAGCACTTCGAAAAGTGCTTGTGGGTTTTGCAATTCTACCATAGGTTTTAGGTTCGAGTAGGACCTTGATTTAAGGTGGAATAAAAGGGAGGGAGAAACTCAAGGCTAACAATCACAATAGTGATCTCTAACATCGCAACACACTTGCAGTTCAGCATGCAGCAATTACACTCTTCTTTATCTGCATAAGTAGCAACAACACTCGGCTCTGCCTCCATCAAAAGCAACATTTCTTCATCAATAGCAACGTTTGGTCATATCCTAGCAGCCAACATTCAACAGACAATACACATTTATGAGAGCAAACTTCTGGCTCGACCTTCTCCCTCAATTTTCTTGCTCAACCTTTTCCATCTCTGATCACCAGTACATAAGGTTACTTTGTAATATAAAAAATTATGTTATATTTTTTATAAAAATCATAGTAAATTTTACAAAATATTCTTTATATATTTTTAATAAATATATTACACTTTCAATATAAGAAATTTCCAATGAATTTTTTTATTATTTAAAGGTAGTTATATTTTTGTGAAATGGTAACTAAATAATATTCACAGTTTTTAAGGTGTGAATAAGCAATTCTTTATGCACTTTTTTGTACTTTCAGCTAAATATTTTATATGAAAATTTGACTATTGCCATAATGATTGTTATCATAAATTTTAAAACTAATGTGATTGAAATTTTCTTAGGAATTAGAAAATTATAATGGTGATCTTATGTGACGAAAACTTAGTTATGGTTGATTCTAAGTACGAAGAAAGATCCAACTTGGAATTATACGAAGTTAAAATAAGAGTTAGAATACTCTTTGCTTAATATGTATTTATTGTGATAAAGCGACAAATTAGGTATATTTCAAACCAAAAAATATCTTATTGGTACTTTTGAAACATCCAAAAGGACTAATGTTATTACATGCAAGAAGTTCCATGAGATGTAACGAAAGAGTTACTTGCTTATCAAGAAGCGATAAAATTGAAATAGAATATATGTATGTAATATAATAAGTGTGATAAAGATGATGACGTCGACAACAACAATAAGCTTTTATCTCATTACATGGGCATTATGATAAAGACTACTAAAGAACAAAAAAATTAAATGTTCATGCATTGCGGAAAGTGACCATTGGAATCAAGTTATGAAATGGGAAATATCAATGCACCTAGCATTGGATTGAAGTTCCTCGAGACGAGAAGTTCTATGGATCATTTCGTATATCTAGAATTTGAAAAAAAAAAAGGAAAAAAAGGAAAAAAATGAGATAAATGAGGATCCACAAAAACCTAAATAAGAGATTAAAAGATAAAACTATATAATACATAGCTAAGTGGTTCTACAAATTAAACATCCCTTTCAATTTAGGAAAGTTTGAGAGTTTTAAACATATGGCAGATGCTATTGCACAATATGTATCAAATCTAAAATTCTTGTTCTATCATGAGTTGGAACTCTCTATTTAAAAGAAAAATAGAAGCAACTAAGAATGACATGGAAAAGCACAAGAAGGTTGGGAAAGAGAAGAGTTGCACCCCTATATTAAATGGGTGAATTGATCATAGAGAACAATTACTAATAAATTTCTAAGCTATAATTCACCATTAGACACAATATTCATGGAATCATTTGATGTATCTGAATATTTGAAAAGTGCATTAAAGCTCTTTGAGCTCCTTAATGTAGAAATTGAAAATTTGAAGAGTGAGAATGTGGTGCAAGTGATAACAAATAATAACTCTAATTAAATTCTTGCAGGTTAATAATTTGTAGTATCTTATTTTTAAATATTTATTTTAATTATAATGTTAAGATATCTTAAATTCTAATAGGTTAAATGCTTATGGATAAGAGGACACAAATATATTGGACGCATATATAGCTTATTGCATAGATCTAATGTTGGAAAATATTAGGAAGACTAAAAAAATGAAAAATACTATTAAGAAAACCTTGGAGTTATTTGGCTTTTCATATAATGGTATATTCTTAATATGATAAGAAAATATAAAAGTGTAGCATAATTAGTGAGAGAATACATCATCAACCATTTTGCTAATTCTTTCCACACACGCAAGCATAAACAAGTAAGAAATAAAAAAATTAAAGCATATGTTTGCCTCTGAATAGTATTGCAAGTCTAGATTTAATGTTAGTTGCAAAGGAAAGAAAGTTTGAGAATATTACCAGGCTATATTTTGGAATGTTGGAGTTTATGCTTTGAAAATTACACGCATATTAGTGAACATGCTAAGATTAATAGATGGTGATAAGATGTAATGGAAAATATTACAAATACAATTAGTGGAGTATTTAAAGGATATGAAAAGAAAAAAAGGGCAAATCATTTATGTCATTGGTGAAAGATTTGGGTGTCAACTATTACGTCAAGTCAGTTACTATCATTGGTGAAAGATTTGGCTGTCAACTTGACAAATTTTAAATACAAGTAGATAGATAATTGATGAAAAGTTTAAATGCAAGCAGGCTAGTAGGAGACCCAGATAAAAGAATTGCTGTAAATTAAGAGCTCACTATTATTAATCATATTGGTGGTCTGGTCTATTTATGGTTGAATTTGTCATCCATAATAGATATAAAAAATTTGTAGATATAATTATTAATTGAAACTTCTGCAAAATTTAAAACTTTTTTATTGGTTTGTTATTTTTTCCTTAAATTGTAATACTAAAATTTTAATATAATGGAGTGGTGGGAGATGCATGGTGCATCAATCCCAACTTTACCAAAATTGGGAATTAAGATTTCAAGCTTATCTTATAGCGCTATTGGATGTGAGAGGAACTAGAATATCTTCGATAAGGTTAATAATTAATTAATTTTGACTACATAAAGTAATTCACATATTTTGTAAATCTCAATTTGATTTCATTTTTATAGATTCACATGAAAAAGAGAAATTGGTTGGATAAAAAGAATTTATATGACCTAATGTTTATAAAGTGCAACTAAACTTTCAAAAGATCGAATCAATTTAAGAGATGTTATTAATTTAATAGTTTGAGTTGTATTGATCAATTTTAAGAGTAAATAATTAGAGAAATGAAGAATGTTGGTGAATAATGTTTTGGTGATGAAGATCTAACTTGGCAGACAAAAATGAATAGGCCTTAGAAAAAGTTGAAAGAAGGTAGTCTTTAAGATTTAGTAGGTTGAAAATAAGAGGTTCATTAGAACGAGAGCTAGTTCATCTTGACCTACATCAACTTTTGTTGCTATTCAATAAAGAGAAGATGGGATTGACACAAAAGAAGAAGATGATTTTAAGGAAATGCTACTTGAAGAAGAAAGAAAATAAGTGAATGAAAGAATGGATGATGACAAATGACTTATCTAGAGCTTGCTTCATGATACTTGAGATTTTGTGCATTAACTTTAGTTTTGGCTCTGAATTAAACATTTTTATGCAAAATTGAAGTTCCTAAATTTTATATCAAACCACTATACTACTTTTAATCTTTTGTTAATTCCTATGTATAATAGAAATTGTTAATAAATTTAATTTTCGGTTTTACATTTGAATTTTATCTTCAAATTGGGTGTGTGCATCACTTTTTTATTTTTATATCAAGCTTTAAGATATTTATTAAATAATCCATGTTTTACAATTGTTATTGAATGTATAATAATATTTTCTAAATTTATTAATAGATGTTTTTTAAACTTGATTGATTAAATGTCTATCTATCCAATGTGTATAATAATATTGCTTCATATATATATAAGTTATGAGAATTATACTTAATAAAAGCACTGCTTCACATTGGGTCTTATGCAGTGAAGCAAAAAGGAACTTGAGCATTGATTTTCACTTTGGAAACTCTAAGAATTCTACAAGCTAACATATGTTGGCCTTTTAAGAGCACTTCTATCTTAAGCCTTTTCTGCAAGTTTATCCAATATGTCAAGACATATTTTACCAATCATTTCTACCCATCATATTATCCCATTATAAATGTCCCAAACATAACCACCTAGAAGCTATCACTGGATACCCTTGAAACTTAAAAATTGCTAATTAAACATGCTTGTCTGCAAGTTTAGAGAGAAAGAATAAAAAAGTTACAAGCTTAATAGGAGAGCAGCAGGCTTATGCTTATGCAACCAATATAAAAAAGCTGGATATAAATAATTAAGAATAGGCAATATTTCGGTTCAAAAAGGTAAAAACTCATTCAAAAAACCAAAGAGAAATGAATAACACTTGTTAATTTAAACCGTAAAAAATATAAAGCCGACAACTTCCAATAATTATTTATAAAACAAACAGAGAAAAAATGAGAGCCTGAAACAAGAACTTGTAGCAATATTTTCTGCGAATCGATCAGGGAACTTATGGGTCCAGTAAATACCAGTAACTCTTGTACATCAATTCTCTGAAGAGTCCTCAAAGAGCTGCTTCCTCAGAACATCATGCAATTTCCCAAAAAGATCCTTTTTCAAAGAATCAAAAGCCATATCCAGTCTTTCCAGCAGCTCCGTAGAGTTTTTATTGTACATAAACAGACCATTGTAAAGCTCGAAGCTATCGCTGCCTGTGTTCTGCACCAGCTTCAGCAGTGCCTCATACCCTTTGGTATCAATCTGGGTCGACTTGAGATCTAGCATAGAAAGTAAGCGCCCCACAGTATGGGTCAAAAACTGAGTCTCGGCAGCACATGCATCATGCTCGGCACAAGACATCTCCACCATCCGGCAGCCCTCGCGCTCAAAAATATCAAGAAATCTCTTGCACCGCTCCGCACGGTCGCCGTAGTCCCCAATGCGGACCTTCTCATAGACCAGGGGGAGGCCATCCCAACCATCTTTGCCGCTCTCAGGACCAAACATGGGGTGGGTGCAGAGGATGTCGAAATAGGGTGGGAGGTGCTTCAAAAGGAGGTTTTTGGGGAACTCCTTGACGGAGAGGACTTCAGTGAATAGTGTGTTACGGCGGAGGCGTTGGATAGGGAGGGCGCGGAGGACGGTGGCAGTAGAGAGAATGGAGGAGGAGAGGAGAACAACATCCGGATGCTGCTCGCAGAGGTCATTGGGATCGGAAAAGAATGAAGCGCCAAGAGAGGCTGCGGCGGCCGAGTGGTCAGTACGGGAATGAGCGAGTAGGGTGTGCCCCTGCCGGGCGAAGGTTTGAGCGAGGAACTGTCCGAAATTGCCGAACCCTATAATGGCGATCTTGAGGCGTACGCGCCGATCCATGAGATCAGAGGCCTGAGCCTCCATGTCAAACGGCTGGGCGGCGTCCATTGCGCGGATAGCCGGGGGCCGGCAGCGCAGGCGACCAGCAGCGGGGACAAACGAGATGGCGGAGCTGAGGGAGTTGAGAAACATTGTGTCCTTGGGGCCCACCACCGGCGCACTGTACCCTAATCCTGGAGCCAACGCATCCCGGCGGCGAGCGGGGAATAGAGAGGGGAGCGGTAAAGCTAGAGCGGGCTATATACTAAATTTTGGAGAGAGAGAAGAGTTTTTGGAGGAGAGGGAATATCACTTTATTTTATATTATTTATATATTTAATATAAAATTTTTAATATTATATATATATATATATATATATAATTTTAATTTCAAATTAGTACGTCATTACAAAATTATCTTGAGCGGGCACGAATCTCGAGACAAAAAACTAGTTACAAACTTCAAAAATAAAATTCGAGAGCACTAGAACTCTGATTTCAACGAGCTTACATTCAAACTGAGCGTCTCAGAAATAGGAACCCAATGACGCCAAATTCAACCCAATCCGAGCCCAAATGGGTCCGAATAAAGGACCCGAAGCACTGTTGAAAGGTTCAAACCACAATTTGAGTTACCAAACGGTCTCTGATTTTAACGAGCTTATACTTGAATCGAGCGTCTCGACGAGACGAATCCAAGGAGCCCAAGATCACCGAATTCCTACATCACTAAGGCCTTCAAATATCCAACGAACGGTGCACGATCTTATGATTCAATATCGGTCGTCCATTCAACTACTCCCTATTCGCCCTTGATCTCGCGACTATTTACGAGCTATGCCACTACAGAAAAACTATAAATAGAGCCCTCATTCTTCACAAAGGGGACTCAAGTGAAGAGAGATAAGAAGAAGGGAAGAAGAAGAGAGAGGGGAAAGGGAGAATCATCTCCTCCTCGACCACCGCCGCCAGAGCTCTTCCCGCCGCCTGAATACGCCGGAACTCTGCCGGATTTTCGGGAAATGCCAGGATTTCGCACAACTTCGTAACTTTGTTTCAATTTAGAAGAACTTTATTGTAAATCTGATTGTCCTAACTTGTGGGACGAATCAGCTTCTTGTAATTTACGCAACACTGATAGAACTTTTCAACTGGGTGAGATCCCGTTGTTTTTTTCCCTCTTTTGGGTTTTCTACGTAAAAATCCTAGTGTTCTTTTATCTTATGTTTGTGTATGCTGAATATTCGTACAACGTTAAGACGCGAATTTACAAACTCTACCGCCGCGTGTATTCTATCCCGCAACAGTTTGGCGTCGTTTGTGGAAAATAATATCCCACAACTTCGAGTATTGCTACAATGGTCAACAGACGTAGCAGTCACATCGTTGGAGCTTCCCGCTCTAACTCCCACCAGTCCAAAAATCAGTCTATTAACCATAGACGCCCGATGTCTGCCTCTTTTCATCATGGGGGGCAGAATGCTGCCGGAGAAGGGACCTCGGGACCTGGAAGATGGAAGAATCTCAGAACAATATCCTTCAACTCTTGCGAGAGAATCGATATGCTACATTGGTACAATAGGAGGAGGTCCTTCTCCCTCGGGATCCACCACGGGTTGAAGATGTTCAATTCAAACATCTTCAAGAAGAGATTCATCTTCCTCCACCCAGGAGACATCCTCAATCACGACAGGATAATGAACTTGCCGATACAGCGAGATCAACACATCCTTCCCCCTCGACTCGGCAGCCTCGCATTCTTTCGGATATCCCAGAAGGCTCTGCCCAATCACACATTGCGGAACTCCCTCACAATGTGTGCGTCACGAACTGGGAAGATTGATACGATAAGAGTTCCCCCGATGAGATGTGAGGCATGCTCTCCGATAGAGGAACTTCCAGGAGTCACACCTCTAGCTGAAGCCATTCTTCAAAGAACGTATCGAAGCAATTTGTCAGTGGATTAGGGGTCATGAGTATGAATTACATTATCATATTAGTGGGATATCACCTAAAATTTATTTGTCAATTATGAGTGATATAGATGTGATGAACATGCTTATAGGTTCCTGCAATGGCAACAAAGTGGAGGTGTTGGTTGTAGTGAGAGATCATCAAGAAGATATGACTTATACGGACGAAACTCAGTGTGGCGATGTGCAAGATTTAAGTGCCAAAAACACGGTAAACAATGACATATTAGTAGATGGTTTGTGTGATGGTTCATTTGCGACTGAAGTTAAAGAAAAAAATTCATTACGTGTTGGTTCGTGTTTTGAGGATTCATCTAGTTTCAAGCAAGCTATTTGTTCTAATGAAATATTATAGAACTTTGCAATTAAGATTAAGGCAAGTAACAAATCAAGAGTTATTGCTATATGCACATATTATGGTTATCCATGGAGAATACGTGCTTCGATATGTTCGATGGACATTCATTCGAAGTTAGAAAATTGATTTCAACACATTTATGTCATGGAGTTAATAGAGCTGGGAACAAACAAGCTACCTCAAGCTGGATTGCACATGAAATAAAGGACATTGTGAAAAAGAATCATGATGTTACTCCAAAGGATATTAGTAATAACTTAGAGACCATTTTTGGTTTATCTTTATCATATATGAAAATATGGCGTTCAAGGAAAATAACATAAGATCAAATATTTGGTTCAGTAGATGATAATTACATGTGGGTGCCCACTATGAGGTCTGAGTTAATGAATAGGAATCCTGGCTCACATATAACGTACCAATGTGATGAACAAAATGGCTCATTTAAGAGGTTCTTTGTCAGTTTCAAGGCCTGCATTGATGGCTTCCTTGCTGGTTGTAGATATTTAATTGATATTGATGTTTGTCATCTTAAATGAAAATATTTAGGTGTGATCCTTTCTGCTAATACTTTGGATGGGAACAATGGTCTCTTTAATATTGCTTTTGCCGTTGCTGAATCTGAATCAAAGAAAAGTTGGGAGTGGTTTGAGGATTCTTGTGGTCAAGCAAGCTATTACAGTTACAAGTTTGTAAGGTAACTTAATTAAATATTGTGTTAACATTTGTTATCTAAACATTAGTTTTTTTAGCAGATATAGAATGAAATATGAAGGAGCCATTTCAACATTACCAGAGAAAGAGCAGTGTACCTTACTAAGTGATAACCAATTAGTTTTCCTACCTGTTACAATAAGGCCGCATGGTAGATCCAAGAAAAGACGAATTAAAAACTTCTTGGAAGGTGCGCAGAAATCGAAAACAACTCATAAATGTGGTCAATGCAATTCTTGGGGTCACCGTAGAAGTACTTGCAAGGAACCTTTAAGTTTTGAGGGAGAAGATATTCAGAATAATGTTTGGTCAAAATTACCCATTCGGCGAGGGCAATTATAATTCTAGACCTGTTTGAATTACTTCTGCTTGCCAAGAACTGCTTGCTATTTTGAGCCATATAACTCATAAATATATGACTTTTGAGCTAAATATTTGTAATTCTGCTTGGTGTTTTGAGTCCAAAATATATTGTTTTATTAATTGAAAAAAACTTCATCATATGTTGTTTTTTTTCATGACACTTATGTTTTCATAATATTTCTGCTTGTGAACAGTTATAATTTTGCTACAGGGATCCCAAATTATAATTCTGCTTCTATACAGAGCTCCCAAAACTTCTCATTGATTTCAATTGAACCAGACTTCTGCTTGTCGTCCACATTATGTGAAAACTAAATGATCTGTATGGAAGAACTGCTTGCCTCTATGCGAATTAAATGCCCTGTATGGAAAACTTACACTTATGCTTGCCTTTGCTTCATTACGATTAGTGATAGAAAAATATCAAATATTCTAAATATTGAATCGCGAAATCCTAAATATTGACTCAAAGTGGCATTTACGGATAGTGATATTTATTTACAGTGAAAGCTATAATAACATTAAGGAAAATCACTATGACCAACAAGATTTTCATTTGTAACAGCTCGGCTCTAATTGAGTCAATATGCGTTGTACTGCTTTCAGCAATATTTGAACTTAGGAAATTGCTACCATACGGAATTTCATTAACTTCATCACACCATCGAAAATAATGGCAATCATCTTATGTTCTATTCCGGGAGCATATGTAGAATTTTCTTCCTCTACTACGAGATTGGTAAGATGTAAATATCGCACATTGTAAGTTGCAATGACAATACATTTGATTACTAAAGTTAGGGAATGTCGTTGCCGAGGAACTCGAACTCATTTTTAGATTGCCTTGTATATTGCCTTCATAAAATTCACCTTCAAAAAAATAAAAGAAAATGAAGATATAAGAAGTAAGGAATTGCCTTTACATTCCATTCATTTAGAAAATATTCAGAAAATACATCTTGGCATTTCATCAAACACCTATTATGCATCTCTAAATTTACAAACACAACATAGTGAATGAATCTTGAGAAGTTTACCCTAAACAACTAATGGAGAACATCATCGTCAACATTAAAAACTTAAATGATTATAAATATGTTAAAAAAACATGGACTGAAGAAGAAAAAACAAATATCACATTGCCAGCTTTTTATGCGAACATCCTGTGAGATAATAGAACAACGTGAAAGGCCAACTCACTGGAGAAGTCGCCGCGAAACAGCCCTGACTTTGGACTAGCGAACGGGCGGAGCGAACGGGCGGATTGAACGGACGGAGCGAACGGGACGAAGCTGCATAAGACAACGAGCCGAACGTAGCAAACGTCTTGAAGATGGAATTGTATACATAGTGGTATAATTGATTTAAAATGATTGTTTTGGGTGGTATATTAGTAAATAGATTAGTTTAGGTGTTAAATATGTATTTTAAACAGTTTTAGGTGTTATGTATGTAAAAATTTCCCTAAATTTTATATTACATTTAATTCTTATCACTCATCACACCTATAACTTTAATATTTAATTTCATACACCCATATTTTATTCTAATGAGTAGTAGTAGGGCGGAGCAGGGTGATTTTATTGATATTTGAGAGCACAACAATGTGAAGAAAAAAAACCCTCAAGTTCTCATCTGGAGTTTTCGATCGACAATCGACGGTTTTAAAAAAAAATTTTACTCATTTAGATCATATAAAAACATAAAATATATAATAAAACAAAAATTTTACAATTGAGATATTTTGCACATATTCAATAAGAATATGCTTCCCTTCTGATCAAACCAAAATGAAACCTAACTTGTATCTCATTTGTCTGCTCTCCTTTTAGATGTTGTTGGCTGGGAACATAAAAAATAATTTATGAACATTTAAGTTCAAG